TATAAATTAAATTATTTTTCAGTCTCGGGGGCGCGTTGCCGATGAGGAGCAGGTGGCGCAGAGGTGCCGATGACGACGACTTCCGCCTTCATCACACCCAGATGAAGAGCAGCACAAAGACGGCCGCGACGATCAGACCCGGCAGCCATCCGACCAGGGCGGAGCCTGCCGCAGCGAGCCCCGCGAACAGCAGCGCGTGGCAAGTCCAGTGCACGCACCTCCAGCTGGGAAACAGGGAGCCGGTTCACGGATTCAAATAATCATCGTCATTAACAAACATGTCGGTTGTTTTTGCATTTAAACCTCTCGCATGCTCGCAGCGTTGCACTCACATCCGCAGCTGTGTGGTGGCCCGCGGCAGGGTGTCGAGCTTCTCCTTGTGGTAGTGCTCCCTCACGCCCAGCACGCACCGCTCCAGGTACTCGGACCAGGTGTAGTTGGCCGGGTCGAAGTAGAAGTCCTCCCGGTCGGCGGGGCTCATCCTGGCGGCCAGCTCGGCCATGCCCTCGGTGCGGAAGCGCCACTCGCTGCCCGTGAACTTGCGCACCAGCTGCATGCCCGTCAGGTACTTGCGCTGGATGTCGAACAGCCTGCAAGCAAAGGGAAATACAAGGGCTCGTACTTCGTGTTTTGACATTTTTGCGACAAATTTCGGCGGACCTGGACAAACTTTAACCAATCCCCAATCCGCTTTGGGCTTGTCCAGAAAGTTCGTCCGTTTTCCTCAGATTCATTCGGCAGGTTTCGGGGAGCTCGGCGCCTGCGAGACTCAAGGTGGGCCACCCCGCAGTACACGCGTGCACTGCAGGCAAGATATCGTCTACCTACCAGGCGCTTTCAGAGCTTGCAGGCGATTTCACGCCTTGCAGGGGCTGAACTTTGCAGGTTAGTAACGGCAAATGACGGACGTGCTTTCTCGATAATCCCTTTGGCCGAGGTTCATCACGGCACAGGCACCTGAAGCATGGCATCCGCAGGCGCCCGAGAGGAGGCCCACCCGCATCCCCGCATGACGTCCACGCGCGATAGGTGGCCTACACAGCCGGGCTGCTGGCTCACCCGCCACTCCGGTACTAACAATCCGCCGGCATTGTTGGGCATACCCTACGATACCCCCGCGGCCGCCACCGCGCCCCCGTCGCCCCGCCCCGCCGCGTCCGCACATCCCTGACCCGCACCTGCCGCCCTCCTCCGCGCCCCCGGCCCCGCGGGCCCACCCGCGCCCCCCGCGCCCCCCGCGCGCGCCAGCATGAGGTACTTCCGCGCCAAGACCAGCGAGTCCGCGAGCAAGAGCGCCAAGCGGAGGTCCGGGCAGGACGCGGCGCCCCTCGCCGCCGACGACCAGCCGCAGTGCAGTGAGCACGACGTCGAGGCCGCGGCGCAGGTTGGGCCGAGGCCGGGGCTGACGGGGCGGCGGTGTGCTCCGCAGGCGCGGCCGGCGCGTCCGGGGCCGCGCGATGGCAGCAGGAGCAGACCAAGGACCCGTACCGGCGGCAGAGGACGCCGATGTGGAAGCGGACCACCAAGGCGCAGCCTGCGCGCCCGGCGGAGCCCCTGGACGCCGCCAACGCCCCGGCCGCCGGGGACGTGGAGGTGGGTGAGACCGTGTAAGCGCACATGGTGTGCTCGGAAAAGCGAATGTGTGATGACAACTTGCCGTGTCCGCCTGCCTCGCGCAGAAGGCGACAAAGCTGTACAAGCCAAAGTCCGCGACGGCCAAGGCTGCGTCCGAGACCTTGATCGGGCCGGAGGAGGTCGAGCTCGTGCACAAGGAGCAACAGACGTCGTACACTACGGTTCAAGAGGGTGGCACTGTACTGGAGGAGTACTGCGTCGAGGACTACTTCGTCGAGGAGCCCGTCGAGGTGCCGTCCGTGACTCGGTTACCCGTGGCGGGACCGTCGCGGCCAGCCGACGACGAGGATGACGACGACACCGACACGGACGACACCGCGACGGACGAGGCCGTCGGTGGGGTGCCCTCGACAGCGGTAGGGCCCGGGTCTCTCACTACCTCGTGGCACCCGCACACTGCACAGGCTAATGTACTCGGTCACGCCCTCCAGACGGCCTCGACATCCGTCCCCGAGTCATCGACCTCGGACAGGCTGTCGGCCGAGCTCAAGGCCCTGGTCAGCCTGGTGGAGATGTCAGCGGGGAGCCCTATTCGCTGCACGTCCTCGTCGAGAGTGTCGGCCTCGGCCACGCCCTGCGAGGAGACCAAGAAGGCCGAGGCGGCTGACGGGGAGGGCGAGGGCATTCGGACCTGGCAGCGGAACTTCCTGGGCAGACTGACGAGGGCCCGGCAGCGCAGAGACATTCGGCTCAACCGGAAGGAGGTCCTCAGCATGCAGCTGGTGCTGGAGACCGTGCTCAAGCAGCACATGGCGCTCAGCAGGGAGGTGGAGGCCGTCAAGGCGAACCTGCAGTGGGAGAGCCTGGAGCCGGTGTCGCTGAGCCGGGCGCTGTCCAGGCTCCAGGCCGAGCGGAACGAGGAGGCGGCCGCCCTGGACAAGATCCTGGCCTGCAAGGACAAGGAGCTGCAGGCCCAGCGGGAACAGGCGCGCGCCGCGGCCGCCGCCTCCAAGAAGCAGATCGAGGTGCTGGAGCAGAGCTGCCGCGAGAAGGACGCCGACCTGGAGAAGGCGGCCCTGGCGCTGGCCACGGTGCACGCCATGCACCGCAAGGCGGTCCAGGACGCCGCCAGGCAGAGCCAGGAGGACGTGGCACAGGCCCAGGCCGCCCTGGACGCACTGCGGGCCTCGCACGCCGCGGCCGAGGCCGAGATGGCCGCGCGCCACAAGGCCGAGCTCAGCGCCCAGCTGGAGGAGCTGAGGAAGACCATGCAGGCCGAGGTAAAGTATACGCCGGGTGTTGAGATGTTGGGAGGGAGAGGAGACTTCTCATAAGCACGGCTTCAATATTTAAGGAGAAATGAGCAGTAATCTTATCTGTGACGCAGATGGACGAGCGCGAGGCCGCCCTGGAGGCGCGGCTCAGCACGCTGCGGACGAACGCGGCCGCCAAGGAGTCCCGCCTGGAGATGGAGAGCCTGCGGATGAGTCGCGCGCTCACCCAGCACGAGGCGCACCTCGGCCGCCTCATGGGCACCGTCGAGCAGCTCCAGGCTCAGGTCCGCGACCAGGAGGCGGCGGCCAAGGAGGCCCGCGAGGAGGCCGCCGCCAAGGGAAAGGCCCTGGTGGCGCGCGAGGCCGAGCTGCTGGCGGCCCGCGCCGACCAGGAGGACGTCGAGGTGCTCGTGAGCAAGGCGCTGAGCGCGCGCGACAGCGACTCGCAGCACCTCCGCGACGCGATGGAGGCCGCGCGCAAGGACCACGAGCGGCAGCTGCAGACGCTGCGCAACGCCGCCGAGATCCTGCGCTCGCAGAAGGACGTCGAGGCGCTCGCGTACAGCCAGGCCGTCAACGAGAAGGACCTCAAGATCAGCGCGATGATGATCGACGCGGAGGGCATGCGTGCCGCGATCGCGGACGCCGAGAACCGCCTGGCGGAGGCGCTGGACGGGCGCGGTCGCGCCGAGGAGGCCAACGCCGGCCTGCTCAAGACGGTCGAGGCCATGAACAGGCAGCAGGAAGACCTGACTCTTCAGCTGCGCCACAACTTCGGCCAGTTAGAGTCCCAGGCCGCCCAGCTCCAGGCCCAGGCTCACGAAATACAACACCTGAATGAGCTCCTGGCGCAGTCCGCGCACGAAACGGAGGAACTCCGGCGGGTCTACAATGACAGCGTCACCGAGGTTGAGCGGCAGCGGAGGAAGATCCTGGAGCAGAAGGACGTGGTGGCGGAGAGGGACCGACTTCACAAGGCACTGAACGACCTGCACGCCAACACCGAGACAGAGATCGGCAACCTGCGTAAGGCACTACGTGACCATCAGCACGACGGAGACGAGGCCGCCCGCCTCAAGAAGGCCCTAGACAAGCTTCGCCAGAACAGCGCCGCCGAAGCTGAGGATCTACGCAAGGCGATGCAGGAACTCCACGACAGCCACGTCGTCGAGGTGAAACGCATGCAGACCGCCCTGCAGGAGGCCCGAAGCAAGCGGAAAACGGAAGCGGAGCACTTCCGGGAGGCGCTGCACGAGAAGGACGTCCAGATCCGCGACCTACAAGACGAGTTTGTAAAATTTCGTCTCGATCAGGAGGCGGTGCAGAGCGAGCTGAGGGTGCGGAACGAGGGCCTCGACCGGGACGTCTCTGTTTTAAAAAACTCCGTCAGCCAAATGAAGACGGCGCACCGGGACCGCGTGACCGCCCTGGACAAGAAGGCCAGCGAGCTGGCCGAGCAGGCCCGGAGGCACAAGCAGGACGCGGAGCAGGCGCGCGCCGAGAGCCGGGACCTGCAGCAGCGGGCGCGCGAGGCCGAGCGGGCGCGCGCGCAGGCCGAGCAGGCCCTCGCCAAGCAGCGCCAGGGCGGCCAGGAGAGGGAGGGCCAGCTTAACGACCTGGTGCGGGAGCGCGACGAGCTGCTCGCGGACAGGGACGGGCTGCGGATGGACGTGGACCACCTCGCCAAGCAGAGGGACAACTGCCAGGTAACACCTCGAGTTCACCCAGTGTCACCCGGATTCACTTCCATTTCTGTTTTTACCCATCCCCCCTCCCTCCCCGCGGTCCCGTGTGCAGATCGTGGTGGAGGAGAAGGACCGCGAGATCCGGGCGCTGCGGGACAAGATCGAGCGGCTGGAGGCGCGGGCCGACGGCGCGACTGCCGACCTGCAGCAGGACCTGCGCGAGCGCCAGGAGGAGTCGGCACGGCTGCGCGTCGAGCTGGACACGGCGCTGGAGCAACGCGAGGCGCTGCTCGCCAAGGTGTCCAAGCTGTTCAAGGTGGTGCGGCGCTCCTTCGACAGGAGGACCTCGGAGAAGGCGGCCCTGGAGCTCGAGCTGCAGGAGACCCGCGCCCAGCTCGACGGCGCCGTGCAGAGCCACCAGGCTGAGCAGGACAAGGTGGGCCTACCCGTCAAACGACCGTAGATAATTTTATCCCAAATCATTTGTTGGGACGAAATTTTACCCCCAAAATTAGCAGTCAAGTTTTAACATTTACTCCACATTATGATCTTGTTGCACCCTATCCTTCTCGTTTAAAATCTTTACTTGATTACTTGATTTTCCCCCATAGCTGATGAAGATGATGCTGGGCAAGGAGAACGACATGAAACAGCTGCGCGAGAACTTGCACCAGTACGAGGACCACCTGCGCAGCACCAAGGAAGAGATGGACGCCACCAACTCGCTGCTCAAGCGCAACATCGTGGAGCTGGAGCGCGAGGCGCACCGCCGCGACGCGGATCTGAGGCGGCGGGACGCGGAGCTCGCGCGGCTGCAGGGGATCCAGGCGGACGTCGGCAAGCTTCAGCTGTCGGAGCAGCAGGCCCTGGAGCGCGCCAGCCAGCTGGAGAAAAGCCTGGAGGACAGCAAGCGGCGCGAGGGCGAGCTGCAACTGGAACTGGACGTGGGCAGGTCTGTGCTCAAGAAGAACACCGAGGAGTACCGGCTCAAGATGGAGAAGCTGCAGCAGAACGTGGAGCACATCCGGGCCGAACGAGACTCGGAGCTGACGGTGCTCAAGGACACCGTGGCGAGGCTCGAGACCGAGCTGTTGGACAGGGACCGCCAGATGGAGATCCTCAAGAGCGAGAACTCGAACCAGCTGCTGGAGCTGCAGCACGCGCTCAACGGTCGCCAGGACGAGACCGAACGGCTGACGGACGAGTCCGAGAGGCTGCACCGCGAGAACAAGGCCCTCCGGGACAAGGAGGCGGACCTGCGCCAGGCCATCGCGTACCTCGAGGACGGGGTGGCCGAAGAAGTGAGGGAGCGGGACGAGCGGATAGCGGCCCTGAACGAGGAGCTGCAGCGCATGGCCGAGGTCATGAAGGACGCCGTCCACCGTGACGAGCAAGAACACCTCCAGGTGGCCGAGGCCCTGCAGGAGGCGGCGCGCGCCAAGGAGGCTGAGCTGGCTGCGCTCAGGGATGCACAGCGACGGCAGGCCGCGGACGCGGTGGAGGCCGTCCGACGGAAGGACGAGCAGATCGCGGCCTTGGAGGAGGCCGTCGAGAACCTGAGGACCGGCCTCGACCTAGAGCTCCTGCGGCTTAAGGACCAACTAAGTCAGAGCGAGAACGAGCGGATGCAGCTCTCGACCCACATCTCCATGCTGGAGACGCAGCTCCAGGACCAGGTTTCGCTCATGTCCAAAGAGATTGCGGACAAGGATGCGGAGATCCGGGCGCTGGTCGAGGCCAAGACCAACGTCCAGCCCAGAATCGAAAAGGAGAACGCCGACCTTTCCGAAGAAAATGCGCAGCTGCTCGGCATCATGCAACGCATGAAGAAGGAGCGCGAAGCCGAGCGTGAGATGCGGGAGGCACTGCAGGCCGAGATGCACGAGGTCATCAAGACGACCAACGGCGCGCTGCGGGCCAAGGAGGATCGGCTGGAAACGCTCCGGGATGACGCCGCAGAGGCCGTCTCGCTGAGGCAGCGCCTAGAGGAGGCCGAGAGAGAGATGGGAACCCTGAGAGCGGCCGCGGCCGAGGCCGCGCATCTGCAGGAGAGGCTCGATACGCTGGAGACGGCGCTGTCCAGACAGCACAAGAAGGACCAGGATTTTCTCCGGGAGCAGCTCGAGAAGGCCCGCAGAGACGCGTACGAGGCCGAAAGAAAGGCCGCTGAGGCGACGGCCTGGGCCCGGGCGCAGTCCGAGGCCGCGGCTGGAAAGAGGAACACCGAGATCCTCAACCTTCCCGCCGAGGCCGTGAGGCAGGAGCTACGGTCCCTGAACCAGGAGGAGGGGGACGCCGGCACCATGGAGAGACAGCTCCGCTCGCGCCAGCTCGAGGTCGACAAGCTGAACAAGATGGTGGAGGCCCTGCGGGCGGACCTCGGCTTCCAGAAGCAGCTCTTGCTCACGTTCCACGAGGGCCGAGCCTACCTGGGCGCGCCCTCCGACCACGACAGCCTGACCAAGACGGCCAAGTTCATCAGGGACCCGCGGAACACGGCCGAACTCACCGCGCTCCCCCAGGACGGCGACCACCGTCAGGCGACACGCTCTCACCGCCGTCCGCAGTACGAGCTCAAGAGGGCGCTCTCCGAGGGCGACAACCTGGACTTGTTTAGCACGCCCTCCGACCTCACCCTCAGCTCCATAACCTCAGATTTATCGACGACAACGTCCAAGACGGCTGTGCCTGCCTACAGTGGTGACGTAATTGTATGATTGTTGTTTTTGTTGATTGTGAACGCGTCTCTGTCCTGTTCCACATGTCCATATCGTAGTTTGTGCCTTCTCTGTTTTGTACCGACCCCTGTAGTAAATAAACCCCTGTGACCTGGTGCGAGGACGTGACTTACTCTGGCTTGTGCCCTGTGAGGCGCGCGAGCAGGTCCACGAAGATGGCGGGGAACAGGTGGAAGAGGTAGGCGACGACGAGGCAGCGGTGGTAGCTGCTGCGCACCTTGGCGTCCGGGTACCAGGTCATGCCCGTGCAGGGCTTCTCGTGGCACTTCTGCACCGTGAGACCGACGTACTCGCGCCAGAGCAGCGGGTTGCTGTTGCCCGAGGTCATGTGGTACACCTGCACGTCGGAAACGTCCCTGTGCGATCACAGACATGATGAGTCACTGGTCATCAACATGTGCACTTTTAAAAAGAGGAGAGGGTTGTGGTTGTGATAGACTACTTACTCTGCCACGGCGGCACCCCAGCCCGCGGCGATGGTGAGGTTGGCGACGTGGTCGGCGGGCACCATATCGGCGACCTTGTCCGGATCGGCTAGTGCCACCCTGAACACGCCCTTGATGGCGCCGGCGATGAAGGCAAACGAGCCAGACTTGACGTTGTCCACCCACCCGGGGAAGGGGGCTGACCAGGTGCCCATCACTGTAACCAATTTAGTATTTTAATTTGTAAAGAAAGATAACATTGTGTGGGATGGGAACTCATACGGCCGGCGATATGTTTCACATCGCGAATCCACGGAAGGGAAGTCGGACTTCGTGCGCAGGATGGTGGGGAAGGTCAGCGCCAGGCGCGGGTGTGGGTGTGGGTACGGGTGCGGGTGCGGGCGCGAGCAGAGCGTGCGTGCTAACCGATGCAGTTGGATGCCGAATACCGTACGCGCCGGCGGAGGCTTTCGCAAGCGAAATACTGGAGGCAGAACTCGTCGAGAAACGATCAAACAGGGGTGACTCACCGATGGAGGGTCTGACGATGGCGACGCGGACGCGGCCCCGCTCCGCCAGCAGGACGTTCTCGGCCAGCTGCTTGGTGAACGAGTAGGTGTTGGGGTGGCCGCCGAGCAGGCTGGCCGTCATGTCCCGGAGCGCCTCCGGGTCTGTGTCGCGCACGATGCCGATGATGCTGTCCGGGTCGTGGCCCGACGGGTACACGCGCTCGCGCACCGTGTCCTGCAGCGTGCAGTTGCAGTAGGCCGTCGACACGTACACCATGGCCCTGAGCGCGCGCATCTCCTGGCACAGCTGCAGCACGCGGCGCGAGCCCAGGACGTTGATGTTGACGGCCGTGGCGAGCGCCGCGTTGAAGTTGATGGTGGCCGCGGCGTGGAAGACGACGCGCGCGTCCTGCAGCAGGTCGGCGCGGTCCTCCGCGGAAAGCCCGAGTCCCGGCAGTGAGACGTCGCCGGCCACGGGCTGCACGCGGTCCAGGGACTCGCGGCTGTGACCTGCGAACAGCTGATGACCAGCGTTAGCTCGTCGTTGACCCTCCTCCAGGCTGCTCAGGGTGCGCTCGAAGGCACGCCAGGTGCAGGACGCAAGTTACCGGTTTGTCGAGCAGCTGCCGGACGCGAGCGTGGATGTCCATGCCGCCCCTCGGCCGAACGAGGAGGTACACCCTCGCCAGGCCGGGGCATGACCGCAGTAGCTTCTCCACCAGGACGCCGCCGAGGAAGCCCGTGCCCCCGGTCACGAGCACGGCCGCGCCGTCCAGGAGCTCGCCGATGGTCGGCGTCCCCGACACCGACAACCTCCCGGCGCCGCGCGAGGCGCTCCCGGGCGGAGCCGGCGGTGCGATGGTAGACGACATCCTGGAGCGAGACCTGCCAAAGTTACACATAGGAGGGAAGGTAAAACCAGCGCAAGGTCGATGAACAATCAGTAATCAGTCGATACAATCCTATTCGAAGTTGTAGCGGGAAATTTAAAAATATCTTCGCGGAAAATTCAATATTTCGGACACGATAACTGCGCGGTGCTCAGCGGCTGGAGTGGCGTGAAAAGAAATATCCTGGATGTATTCATTCAGGTAGCGATGACCTAGCGATGTGCTTTCCGCAGTTGTACACAGCGTCGTGCCGCGTCCCGCGACACGCGACAGACTTTAGAGCGTATGTTCTTTCATGTTGGCCAAACCGCACAAATGCACCGATGAATGACCGTGATCGAGTGGGTAATTCCTGGTAGTCTTCGACCGTGTCTCTCGCGTCGTGTTCACGACTTCTCACCCCCCCCCCCCGACCCCTCCCCCTATTGCTCCTCCCACGCCTTCCTCCGCCAACACAGCAGCACCCGCGCGCGCGTCTATAAAGCCAGGACTTCCCCTCATCGCGCAGCAGATACAGCGAGTGCAGCTGCAAACATGGAGTCCCGGAGGTCGCTGCTGCTGGTCCTGGCCGTGGTCGCCGCCGTCCTGGTGCACGCGGCCCAGTCGCAGGAGCAGCAGGTCGGGCAGTGCCCCTGCGGCGACCCCAACCTCGCCTTCTGCCTGCCCAAGGGGGGCGTCCTCCTGCAGAGGCTGGCCGCCACCACCCCGCTGTGCGAGGCCCAGGACCAGCCGTGCGCCGAGGGGCTGATCCGCGTCTGCCTCAAGAACGCCCCCACCACCGCCACCGCCGCGCAGGCCTAAGCCGAGTCCACAACGACGGCGACCTCCACGGGCCTCTCTCCCGCGACGTGCGCCCTCCCCTGTGTCGACGCCGAGAAACTCGATAGCACCTATCATTTTTGAGGCAATAATGTTGATTCTTTCAACTCCAACCATTTCGTGTACTGGGGTGGTGGACGACAGCGTGCGCCAGAAGTGCATTCCCCAACAGGCACGCGGCACTTTCTCTGCACCCGGCCGAGCCAGCTGCAGCACACCTAGCATGGTGAGCTGCAGCTCAGCGGCGGCGGTATGGCAGTCGAGCGTTGGAATGAACAACAGGGAGTGGGACTGCAACAACTACTCCTGTTGGGGCCATGCCATGCCACGTTCACATTTCAATCATCGTTCGCCAAAATTTACGCCTCTTCTGGAACCGTCTTGTATTTGAGTAATGCCGCAGCAGATGTGATAACTTTGTGATATACGTATACAAATAAAATACGATAAGTTTTTCGGTTGATAACACGACAGATGTCCGTCTTTCTTCTTTCTCACACCACCACTTGTCACTCACTTATGTTCACCAACATCCCTGTCGGTCACATGGAGAGCACACACACTGCACCACCACCCGGCGGCATGGAGACTCACCTGAGACGTTCGCGTCCGCACGGACGGTCACTAACTGCGCTGCGCGGGGTGCGTCCAGCCCTCGGGCCGCGCTGCAACCTCGCCGACCGCCTCCGCGATCCTCTCGTCCGCCTCTCTCGCTCCGCAACGCCGGCCGCCTCGAGACAGAGGGAGACGACGGAAAGGGTGGTTCGGAACGGCCCCGTCACTGTCGCAAGCCGGTTCGCCCCGCCCCGCCCCGCCCCGCCCCCGGGGCCGGGCCACCTACGCACGCTACCCAAACTAATTTCACTTTCGTTTGTGTCCGGCACCGCACCCTCGTTGAGTAACACTAATGCAATGAAGTCACACTGCTGTCCGCGACGGTTACGTTCACCCCCCGCCGCGATGGTGGAGAAACGGGGCGTTCACAAAGCACAAGAATAAGAAGCAGCGCGCAAGGAATGTTCGGGGAAACCTTCACACGGCGGAATATAGGGGGCACCTTGGAGTGGAAGGGTAGTGACCCAAAGCGTGTAAGGTAGAGGTAACACGGAGTAACACCATGTAACACGAAGTGACACCATGTAACGGGAAATGACACCATGTAGAACGAAGTAGAACGGGAAATGACACCATGTAAAACGAAGTAACATCAAGTAACACCAAGCAGCACCAAGTAACACCATGCAAAACGATGCAACTCGTACAGGTCAGAGTCAGGTTGCCGCTGCCGTCATAGTGACGTCAAAACGTTCGCGCGCGGAGATTGGTGATCAGATGACATCACGAGTCGCCGGTACAGAAACCACCCCCCGCGGCGCACACAGCATAGTCCCGGGGCCCGGGGCGCTACCCCCCGCGGCCTCTGCCCTACCCCGCGCGGCCGGCCGCGCCCCGGCGCCGCGGCGCCGCCCAGTGCTGCCCCCTGGCCGGCGCCGCGCGGGGCGCCGCTGCTGGCGTCGCCGTCGAGCACAGATCGATAGCCTGCTGCTCGCAGAGAGCGGGAAGCGCGCCCGCCGGGCAGCGCGGCGGCGGCGCCCCGTTCGAAACGGCGACGGGGCTGGGCCGCCCCCGTGCCGCGTCTCAATCAGAACGGCCCGGCGGCGGGCGAATTCGGTTGTTGTCGCCGCCGTCTTTGGCGCCTGCCATGAAATAACCATCAAGATGCGGCAGCGATTACAACCCCCCGCGGGCCGCACGCACGCGCCGCGGCAACGGGACACGGCCGTTGAGCCGGACGCGCTGGGCGATGGCGACCACACCGTGGCGGCGGCCGGCTGCCCCGGGCGGGCAGCGCCGGGCGGGCAGCGCCGGGCGGGCAGCGCCGGGCTAGGCGGCCCCGGGGGCAGCGCGTGGCTCCGGACCCGTACGCCCCGCCGCCCGGGTAGGCAGCGCCGCCGTGCACGTGGACACCACGTGACAGACCAGCCGGCCGGGGCGGCAGGGCCGCGGGATTTATTTAATGAGGCATCGATCTCCCGACGGAGTTAATTTTTGAATGAGTGCACGGGAGGGGATGGCTGGCCTCCTCGCTGCCTCGCCTCGCCCCGCCCCGCCCCGCCCGGCCGCCACGCCCTCACCCCCCGGGCCCGGGGCCGCAAGGCTGCCACAGCCGCCCCCGCACAGGAGGCTGCGCCCGCGGGCCTCGCCTCCCCCGACCGGAGCCTCGACAGCTCTCCGAAGTCGGGCGGCTGGGAAATGCACTGGAAAGCGTCGACAGGGCCGGGAGAGGGCCGCCCGCGGGCGGTAGACGCGCCGTGACGAGGTCCGCGGTGTCCGGGACCAGCGGAAATGCAGCGTGAATTTCCCTCTTGGCAACCCTGTCTCGCACATGTGGGAAAATTGATCGGGAGTGGGCGGGTGGATCGCCCTGGGGCCGGGCGGGAGGCTACAGCGCGCCGGCCGCGACCTGACCCCGGCCGCCGAGCGCCGCCGCGGCCGCCGCGGGGGTGAGCTTGACGGGGTCGCGCTGTAGCGGCGTCCTGCGCAGCTCGCCACGGCCAAGACGGCCACCCCCCGCCCCTCCCCGAGCACCACCCCTCAGCGCACCCCCCGCACCACCGCTCCCCCGCGGCCCTAGGCTCGATGCGCTCCTGTTTCTGGTTGCTGCCAAACATGGCTGTCGGTGGGCCAGTGGGTTTTGGATGTTTCACGTTTCCTTTGATTTCCTCCGCGTTACGTCCGTTAAGTTGATAAAGTGATGCGTCCGCGTCCTCCGCCATCGCCCTCCTCTCCCGTCGCCGCTCGGACAGACTCGTAAGTAGCGTTCTTCCCCGTGCAGGCCCGTGAGGTCGTGTGCGCCCTCGGGGCGGAACGGTCCCAGCCCCGAGCCGTCTGCTCGCCCCGCGACCGACCCGTACCCGTTCAGCCGAGAGCGGCCCTCCCAACCCCCTCTGCCGGGGATTAAACCGTTTCTCGGGCGCGAGACCCGGTTTCGGGTACCGGCCGCCCACCGCGAGGTTCCCGCGACTTTGGTACCGGCCGATACGCGGCACGATCGAGCTCCGGCTCGAGCCAAATCGGGGGCGAGAGAGCTGGAAAATTTGTGAGTTCAACCCCCCGAGAGCCAGCTTGCTGTCTGCTGGACTTGTGACGCGGACGTTTGAGATTGTCCAGGCGTCCACCCCGACTTGCCGTTTCCCCGGCCGACGTCTGGATGCTGTCGGAAACAGTCCTTCGGCCGTTTATTCGGTTTCATTCAGGGTTTATGGCGCATTCGTCGGGAGGGTTGCCGTGTCCCCTAACCACAAAACTTGACGGGGGGCGTGCTAATGTTAACTTAAAAATTTGATCGTTTGTCGATTTTGCAGGTTGGTTCACGGGTCTCTTTGTTTATTTATCGCCAGCAGATGAATTTTGTGTCGGGGTTGCGCGAGTTTTCCGCTGAAGGGCTGTTTTCACGACCCATTGAAAGGGTTGATGTTCGGTCCATTTTAAGGTTAGGAACCTCCCTTCCGTAGCAGCTGAACTGGTGTATGCTAAGATACACCATTCGTGATTATTTTATTATTTGTGCATTTTTCTTAGATATCAGTATGTCATAATTAATATTTAAATGACTAATATAGTTAAATGCTAGTAATATTTTACACTGAATAGTTAGTTTTATATTTAGTTCCATTCATTTTTGCCCTGCGAATATGAAATAATTTATTAATTACATCATGCCCTCAAAGTGTGTATGCTCTGGTAGTAAATCAGCCAAAATTGCAAATTTAAGTCCTGTTGGATTGCAATATGGGTGTAGTTTAGCTCTCAATCTTGATCCAGTTTTATTTCTTTGGGGTGATTGAGAAATCATAGTTCGTCTGAATTAGCAGTAGTTTCGTGAGTGAAGTGTAAATGACATTAAACATATTTGCAAAGACGTATTGTGGTTGTATCATGTATAGTGCTGTTCTTTATAGTAGACTTAAATTTTAATAATGCTATGACGATTTTGTTTTTATTAAATTTGAATTTTACGCATGCTTTTTTTTGTTGTGATTTATTGTTTGCACTTTGTTTTTTATTTTGCTTTTTTTCCTTTTTTTGTTTTATTTAGTTGTTGCATCATGGACTTTGTGGACAAGTCCCGGGGTCCACCCCATTGCAAGAGGCTTCATTATCAGCCTTATGGGGGCCGTTGTGTGGATCACCCACCGTGACCTACTGTCACGCTATTGCCAAAATGTGATACGTCCTTGCCAGATGCCCCATCTCTATTAGACATGTGTTTAAGGCATAAGAGGTAATGTACCGCCAATTTCATTTCAATTAATGCCATCTCCGCATCAATTTGGGAAATCATTTTTCACTGTCCGAATGCTGTCCACTTGCCAGTTTTTTAATACTTCCTTGTTCGTCTATCTCTTTTACAACCTTTTGTATTTTATTTCTTCCTCATCTTTATTCATTTTAGTATGGTGTGGTGTGTGAGTGTATGTTGCATTGTTGCTTGTTTCTGCATGCGGTTTCTTTCTCAAAAAGAGATGTCAAGTCAACTCCAGTTTTCTTTTGTCTTCCCTGTACTCTTTTTTTTCTTTTTTCTTTTTTTTTTAATGTATACTTTAAAAAAAAAATTGTTTACATGATTGCGGTTTATCAAAGGCCAGTCCCTCATAATTCACAACATTAGTGTAGTGAGGGTCCAACTACCAGCCCGTCATCTCCCAACCCCTGAACGTGCCCCGCGCCCGGTGCGCAGGCAACCCAACGTGCTTCCCGCTCGCACGCGCGCCGGGACGCCGGGACCCTCGGCAGCCCAACGTGCATGCGCCGGCTGCGGTCGCTCCGGTGCTCCGTGCTGACCCCATGACACTTTCACCCCGGAGTAAAAAATATCATAAGACGCTTATGGACTCCCCATGATGGTCCTGATCCTTTTGGCATCCATAATATTTGTACCCCCCCCCCCGCTTCCCCCATGGAAACCACCCTTTATGTGGGAAAGAGAGGGAAATTGTCGTCCAAGCGGAATGTTCAGACTAAACGTTAAAAACAATATTTAAAAGTTTAAAATACGAATAGTGGAGTGTAGTATTTACGGCCTTTTCGTTATCAATCCCCTCTCGTTTCCGGCTAATGACGTGTTACTCCGGATCGCTTAGGCACGAGCCGTGGGCCGTGGTGGTACACGTGGCTTATCACAGGCCATCACACCACATTGCTACAGAGAAACAAACGTTGCGCCCATCGTACAAGAAACGAACATAAAAGCCTTGCGCTTTCTAGCTGCAAACGATTCTCCTAACTACTTCTTGCAGGTCCCGCCCAAGGGTCAAACTGCTGGCAGGGCAATCTAAACCCTTCTTCGTCAACGGCCCGAGGTGCACGCTTGCGACAATTTCTCAATTTCTCCTTTCTCCGCACGGCACAACCCTCCCCCCTCCCGCCTCACCACTTGTCCCTTCGATGCCCGCTAGAGACAGTTATGATCCTTCCACCTGGAGTCTTCGCACGCTGCCCCCCCCCCTCCTCCTTTCCCCCCCTGTCGGTGAGTTACAGATGGAAAGTTAATAGAGGGTTATTGAAGACAGTATTACGCGACACAACTGACAGGTTTTGGCCACATCTCCGACCTAAGTTTTTATTACCTTTTTCATTACCATTTGGCTTTCATCTTTCACCATTTCGTGCAAATATTTTTAGCTGCAAAGGCGCGTTTAGTGCAAAGTTCTAAATTATAATTACATTTTTCGTAAAGACCAACCAATCTACTTCCATATGATGCTTACTGACTAAACGATTTGAGCAAACTCGCATCAACATCATCGAGTTTGACATTTCCAATAAGTTTTGACGTTAGGCCGCGTGGTGGTGGTGGTGGGGGG